GCGCCAGCGCCCTGGGCGTCTTCGTCCTGTGCTGGCTCTACGTGTTCCCCGTGTACCGGCTGCCCGACGAGAAGGAAATCGTTCAGGGGGTGCTGCTGCAGCAGGGCAAGGCGTGGAGGAGGAACCAGACTGCGGTCGCCCTGTTCAGGTACCGCCGTGCGCAGCCCAAGGGCAGCGGGGACGGGCGGCCGCGCGAATCCGCGGCCCAGAACCCACCCGGGCATCCTCCCTACCCCGCCGAGCCCCAAACTTTATTCTTTCTTCCTCGACCCTTTGTTTTTTCACAGCGGGCGGGAGGCAGGCAGGGCCCCTTCTGCCCAGCAAAACTTTTTTCGGGGTGGCTCCGTTGGCTGCGGCGAGGAGAAGGGGCTCGGCGCGGGGGGATGGAGGCTCGTCTTCGCAGGTACACCTTTGCACGGGGGGATGAGGTTTCCGAAGATTACGGCGCTCGCCTGCACCATGGGATGCTTCTCGCTTCCCGGATATCAGTGGCACTGGCAGCCCGTGTGGCTGCTAACAAAGCCCAGAGCCGCTAGCCCGGCTTCCCTCGGTGCTGGGGACTGCCAGCTCGCTGCCAGGAGAAAGCCCGGCTTGTGGAGCTGCCCGGGATGCGCAGGGGAAGGTCTGCGTGGATGTGCATTCGTGTCAGCACGCCCGCTCCGAGCAGCGCTTGGGAAGCTCCGCTCCTTGACTCTATGTGCTTTATTATAGAAGCCACGTGTAAAGGCACCTTTTTTGCTTTTGACGTGGCTGGGAAATGGCGATAATCCTTGGGGCCCATTTCACCTTGCCCAGCTGCACAGGAGAGGAGGAATGTTGCAACCGAGCTGCCACAGCTGAGAGCGGTGGAAAACCCACCGCGTCCCTGCGGTGGGGAGGATTTTTTTTAATCACTCTGCTTTGAAAGCGTGTGCAGTGGAGATTTGCATTTCCTCAAAAATTTCTCACATGTTTGGGTAAAATACAGGCAATTGGAAGAGAGGCAGATTTCCCTCCCTTTACTGGAGGGAAGCTGTTTTTTTTTTCTCCCTGTCCTCCAAGTAGCAAATTAAAGATCAGAGTGTGTGGTAATCAAACTGCCTCCGGAAAAACCCTCTTTGGTAAAATTAATCAGATCCAAAATCCAAGGGACTTATTTTCCCTTTTAAAAATATTTTCTTTTGTTTTTAAGTGACATACAGTTTTATTTTAAGTTCTTCAGTATTTTCTGAATCTATTTGCCTTTGTCATGAACTGGAGCTGATGTGGTCGCTTAATATCTTGTCTGCTGGGATAACAGAAACTTCACATTTGTCTGTTAGCCCCCAAAGCCTGCAGGAAATCTGAGCAATGATGGGTTATAAGCAGATATGTGTTAATATTATCTCATTAAGCAGGCCTGGAAGAAGTCTTCCCTTTAATACGGAACTAGCAATAAGGTAGAGATACAGAATCCCTCTCCTGAAACACTTAACTAACAGTAGAAGCTGTGTTGGCCTTGAATTAATCTTGATCCTGTGCACCAAAGACCCCCATTTCTGGGGGGAGATGAATCCAGTTTTTTTAAAAATTACCCTATAGGTTATGTAGGAAAGAATTTGGTCTATTAGTTGTTACGTTAGTAAAGCAAATGTTTGAAGGTTGGTAGTGCTGCTGCAGTTTCAGTTTACAAAACAGTTTTAGACCATTTTTACCACATGGTTTGGTAACAAAACTTCTGTGTGGCTTATCAGCTATTCCACTTGCCCATAAGTTTTTCTACTCACTAAGCATAGTGATTATCTCAGAGATGGTATTGAAGAGAGTCTCATGCAATAAAAGGAGCTGTTGTTTCTTGTCTGAGTCGAGTCTCTTGATGAGTTGGTGCAGCACTAAATACAATGAGCTTTAAATCAATCTGCTTTAAAAGCAGCTTTAAAGAGAAATTGTATGCTGGAGATATGTAGTGTGTATAATAAACTGTATTAATCCAAAAGTCGTGAAGTAGAGCTGTATTTTTGCTGCTTAAATTTACTTCACAACAGAAGATTTTGAAGTTGAAGCCCATGTCAGACAAGCTGCTGTATATCTGAGGTTAACAGAAACTCTTTGCTCTGGTCCTGCTGTCCCTAAGCAAGCCAGCTGTAAAACCTCCAGTTTTTACTTTCTGCTGGAAAATTCCACAGAGAATGTCAGTCTCTGTTTGAATGGGAAAGGAGGGATAGAGCTTCACAGAAAGTTCCTGCATGTGAACTTTCAAGTAATATGGCTTTCCATAACAGTCTAAGATTGTGCTCTTTAATGTATTATTAATAAAATATTATTTAAGAACAGTGTTAATTGCTGTTCTCCCTAACCCTCCTGACATTCTGGTTAACAAACAATTTTGATTTCACTCAGTTTGGAGCAGAAATTGGAATTAATCTGGGCTAAAAATCCATATGCAAATATTCATAGTACTGCTTTGTGTAATACAGTAGCATTTGTGGTATTGTATAGCCAGGTTCTTGCTACACAGATCAAACACCTGATAGGTTTGGAACATTCTCCTCCTATAAACTCACAGGACTGCTGTTGCTGAAGTAGATGTTGGGTAATTAACTTGATGAAATCACACTTTTCAAACCTCAGAAAGACTATTCCCCCTTTGCCTTCTGTACCTGGATCAAGTGACTAAGTGACTAAGTGATTAAGCAAGTTCAACAAAACCATCTGGGTAATCTGGGGTAGTTTGAGTTGAACCCTGGCAACTAAGTGCTGGTAGCTCCTCAATCTCCACTGCTGCTTCCTTCTCCTCTCTGTACAGCCAGAAACCTTATGGAAAGATCTGAGCCCTGCAAACCCTTGCTTATGCAAGAACCCAGACTGACCTGGTTCTTGTGGAATGATTCAATGGGGGTTTTGTGTTTGAATGAATTTCCAGAACTGGTTTTCAAATATAAATACCTGTAAAATTAGTCATAGATGCCTTTAAATTTTTAAATACTAGAGCTTCAGGGTAGTTATCCTGTGAAAACATCTCCTGTCAGACAAATGCTGACTGTTCTGTCAGTCAGATGGTAAAATTCAATTTTGAACTGCAAAGTGGTCAAAATGCAAGTAAGACCATCATTAGAGCCACTAATAGCTAATGTGTCTAATTTGCCTACAATATAATGGCTTGTCATCCTCTGAGGTGGTTGATGTTATTGAGCTCTAACTGTTTCTACAGATTCCTTAGGGAGTATTTTAGGGCCTAGTGCTTCTGAGATTATTTAGGCAAAAATGTTTCTTCTTGTTGTCTGTTATTTGCTAAAGTAAATTACAAACAGTAATACCTTGAGGATTTATTTAAAATACTGCAATTCATTAAAGGCAGAACTGGATCTTTTTATCTGCCTTACAAGCTCCATACAACCACAAATCCCAAGCACTGTGTGTTTATATGACACTTCTCTCATTTGTTTGTTCGAGGGTGGGCCTCTAGGGAGTGAGTGTGCTTGTGGGGGGGCAGTGGGTTTTGGACTGTCAGGAGTCCCACTGAACAGCTTGGATGGTGATTAGTGTCTTTAAGGTTCTTCAGGAAGAGATGGGACAGTCCCTGCAAGATAACAGAAAGGCTTCCTTTGAGATTTAGCTTGTGTGCTTGCTTCTGCAGCTTCAGTTTTGTGTGATGCTGGAAGGTCACCAGGGATTATTCTGGGAGTGACTTGATTAAACTGGTGGCAGATGTGCCCTGTGAACTCACTGTCCATGACCTGACTCCGGTCCAGAGCATCTGCTACAGCTTGTCTTTGCAGTGATGTCCCCTGTGTCATGGCCAAACTGGCTGTGCTCACCTTGGCTGGGGGCTTCTCCACTCTTTTCCACAGATTTGTCCTCTTGTCCATTTTCCATGGACAGAGCAGAGAAGCCACTGCCCTGAAATCACACAGCAGGGTCAGTGGCTGAATTGCAGAGAATATTCAGGCTCTGGTGTTTGCAGTGTGAATGTGAACAGACTGTGAATCCCCTCCTACTGTTGGCTTTGCGTGCCTTGAAAAATCCTGCTCTGTTCCCAGTGTGCCAGAGGGGCTTTTCCCACTGTAACTTCTCTTGTCAGCTGCTCTCTGCTGGATGTTCCTGTCTGTACCTGGAGTGCAGTCGCCTGAGGAGCATCCCCTTGTGCCACATCACTGTTCATTCTGGACTGCACTAACACAGAACTAGAATTCCAGGTCGCTTCCCCAGCTGGGTATGACAGATTCTGTTGCCGAGTCAGCAAGGTTTTCCTTAGTTCATATGGCTTTTTTTTCCTTCTCCTTTTATGTCAGCACTGCAAATTACAGGAGTGTTGGGATCCTCATTGGGCTATCTCAAGGCAAATCTGAGATTAAACTTATGTTGCTCAGGTTGACTTTATATAAGAGTTTGGCCCTTCTTAAACAGTTTCATCAGATACAGAATTATTCCTGCTTTCACTAGATGCATATGAAGGACAGAGTTAGGAGTAGAGCTGGGAGATGCTGGATTAGGTTAGTTCTGCTTCTATGGCCTGAGAAGCCCTGCCCTGAAACTAATGGATATACCCACATGTTGAGCCAAATCCAGTTCTTTTTTCTGTCAAGAGTAGGTGTTGCTACTGCCTGGCTGTGTTTTCATCAGCTTGATTTTGTTGTTGTTGCTGTTGTATTTGCTTCATTGGTGATAAATGGAGTATTTGTAATTTGTAGTTTCCAGCTGAGATGAGAAGTTGTTTTGGTGAAAAGGTACAATTTTGAAGAGCGGGTTAAAGGTGAAAGAAATGTTCTTATTGCATGCTATTATTTGGAGGCTGTGATGAAGAAAGCAAGCTGTAGAGAGTCTTGGCTCCATATCTTCAAGGTAGATACCTGAATGACATGAAAAGAATGAGAAACAGTTATCTGAGTTAGCTCACACTGTCTTTGCAGATGAGAATTGAACTGGCAGGATAGGAATGGATTTAAATTCATCAGTTCTAGCTCCTGCTTTCCTCCTTCCTTGACCCTAAGCAGCATTTTCTTACAGGCTTTGATTTGCAATCCTGATGAAACAGACTGTTGAGGTCCCTAGTATCCTGCAAAGTGTTGGACCGCTGCTTTCCTTTGGATTTGTAAAAACCCCAGTCTGCCAGTATATATGGGAAGATGTAGCCAGCTCCCTGAGGCTCTTTTCCTGTTAGCTGGAAGCAGCTGAAGGCCCACAGCCAGGCACTGGGGATCAGGAGGAACAGAAACTTTGCTGGAATTTAGGTTACCCAGCTGGGGCCCCAAAAATCTGGTATGTACATACCCAGACTCTGCTGGATGTATGTATTTTTCCATTTATGTTTTCCCTTTCTTTGCTGCATAGTGGATGGAATGGGCACTGAATAATCCATACAATGTAGTAATGAGTGATTTATTCCTCTAGTTGTAATTTTCATCTTCAGAGCAGCCAAGAGTGTTGGTCCCATTTGACATGTATTCAATGACATATATGAAAATTCCTGTTTTTGAGGCTAGTTCCTAGTAGGTAAATGCATGGAAAATGAATTGTCTTTCACCCTTTAAAATTTGTCTTTCCCCAGTGTGGATGAACCTCACTGAAATGAGGAAGCTGTTTGGACTGCAGTCTTCTGTTCCAGTTTTCTGAGCACCAAAAAGTACTTAAATTTTAAATCCCTGGATATACCTTAATCTTTTTCTGTATGCTGCATGGGGTTCTCAAAATTCAAGGAAATTGCTCCTAATGCACTATCATTTTAACATAGTTGCATACAGTTAAATTCAGACTGAATCACATTAATCCAAGCTAAGTAGTGTTTGCAAACCTCAGTTTAGACTCAGGTTTTGTCATGTCATGATTTTTACATACAGAAAACCAGATATTCTTCTTCCAGGTCTTGGAATTTAACCTGATTAGATAAACAGTGGGTGGGATGGGAAAAGGCACTCAAAAGCCCCTTGACCCTGGCAAAGCATTTTATTCTGTAAAGTGTTTGCTGCAGAAGCTCTGAGCTTCATGAAGAAGCTGTCCTTTATGCCTTGACCTTTGAAATTCTTAACAAGGTGAATTATATTGTGGATAACTAAATCCCAGCTTTCACCAGAATTCTGGAGGTCACTTTCCCACTGCTCCATTTGGGATAAAAGTGAAAGTTGTGAAATTAGATTGTTTTACAATCTTTTATGGCCAGCAGAATGGTGTGGGGTTTTTGTTGTTACTGCATAAAATCAACAGACTTTTATTTTGACTTCTGTTCCATTTGCTAGAAAATGCCCTTGATGTCTTGAGGAAGCTGACCTAGAACAGAGGCTAGACAGAGTTAAGAATAAAGTAGGTATTTACTGAAAGGCCTTAAAGGGTACACCTGGGGCAGTACAAGAGCCTGGCCAGGGCTACACCCAAGATGGACCTAAAAATGGTCACACAATGGATGACTGGTCACGAGGTCTCACTATTTTATAAGTTTTGGTCCATCTGCATATTTGGGTTCATTGTCCAATTACAGCTTCAGATGATGAAGTCCCATCTTTCTTGTTTTCTCTCTTCAGTCCACCCTTGTTTTTCGGCCTTGTATCAAGCTAGAAAAGGAATTGTTTTGTCTACCTGCTCTGTGAAGAGAGCTCACTAACACTTAATATGAAGCTCAAAACTACACACCTAGGCAGCACAGAGTCTGAAAAATAAGAAAGCTAAAACTTAAGGCATCACCCTCCTTAATTTCTTGGTTTAGAGATGCCCTTTTCAAATGGAGATGTGTCTACAGTGAGGCTTTAAAAGCCTGGGAGCAACTGAATAGAATTGGTAAACATTTTTTATGTCTTTTGTGTTTGCTGAGAGCATCCTGAACATTTCCTGAATAAGCATGGTGTTTTTTTCCTTCATTTTCCCCTCTACCTTTTCTTCAGCCTATTCCTATTCTTAATATGCTTGAGGTCCTCCTCAGCTTTAAGGGGAACCCCAGACTATTGGAGTGGCTCTTCTTATAAGAACTTGTTGTGAAATTATTTACTCCTTTATCTCCTTCCCCATCTGAACTAAGAACACCCTTCTCCAGAGTCTTGCAACTCCTGTTGATGATCAGGGCATCTGTTGTTTTGCATCCTTAATTTTCCAGTTGCTGGCTATCAGGCTTTCCAGGTAAATTGCAGACTTTGCCTTCATGTATTAGCAAGATAAAGGCCTTACCACCTTGCCTCCCTCTGAGGAAACAACACCAGCTTTAATTTAAAAGTTGCCATGTAGATATCCTGTATTTTGAGAAGTGATGGGAAAACTGATCATCAGCTATTTTCCTTACTTTCTTGTGGGAAAAACTTGCTCTGCATATTTCTGGAATGCTGGGAGCGGCTGTTGCTGTAATGGAGAAGTAACAGCTTTGTATTTCCTGTCAGAGATGGAAGACAAACAAACAAAACTTTTTTTTTCCCCCAGTGAATAGATTTTAATATTTTCCTATATGGTCCATCTGGCCAAATGCCAGTTCTGGGAATTCTGTTTCATCTGCCTCAGTGTTTGGAGGTTCCCTTGTTCTACTGATGCTGTCGGTCCTGTGCTCCAGGGCAGGGTGATGAGGAACCTACTGCTGTAGGTAGTACTCAGAAATGCCGAAACAGTTGAGAAAACCAGTCCAAAAAGCTGGAAATATGCAGTGAATTGTACCCAAAACTCTTTGATTGATGCCTGCCTTTTTCAGCGAGTCAGTAAAATTTAGGCCTAATGGCAAATGAGATGAAAACTATCACGTTACTCATCTGGGCTTCAGTCCTCCTACATTTAACTGCCAGGGGACGCTGGATTTTGGTTCCCTGTGTACTTCTATGCAGCCAAGGAAGCAGAGTTATAAAGGGAATTGAGGAAACTATGTACATGACATGGTTATCTCTTGTAACTGAACTTCAGGTCTAGCTCACCACTGGCGTCAGCTGGGAATTCTCTGACTATCATTGTCCAGAAATTATTATTTTTACAGTGCCATAAGCTTGTAGAAAGTCATTCTGTGCTTTGAAGGATTTTCCTTCCAGGAATGTGTGTAGTGAGATCCTGGCTTTGCAGATTTGGAATTTTGATTAATGGGGTGGGTTTTTCATCTGTTAGTGCAGTTTTTAATGTGAAGGAATAGCTGGGCAAGTGACAGGCTGTGGGATTGTTCCCACTGGAGGAGTGATCCAATACTTGTGCTGAAGGTTTGGTGGGTACTGGCTCTTCCTGCTGCTAGAACCTGGGGTACCAGCTTGCTACTTGAGAAGTGTGCAATGCATTTGTTTTAGTTTTTTCTTTCTTTCCGTGACTTCCACTGAAGCACTTACCTATTTCAAAGAGAATAGAAGAGCCCCTTATTCCATATGCAGCATTCACTAGGGATATAAATCCCTGTTCCTGGATAGTAACTCACAGTTTCTTACAGTATAAAGAATGAATCGTCAGCTACGGGTGAAATTCAGATTCTCTACTTCCGCTCCATCTGTGAGGTCTGTCACTAGGCAACAGTAGCGAGTGCTGCAGCAGACATTTCTAATTGGAATGTAGTCTTTAAATTATCCTTGCTCACTGTGGATGATTTACTGCCATCCACTCGGGCAATGCTACCTTATTAAAGATTTGTTATTTGTCTGGGTGTGGTTCAGACTCTGCAGTCTCCTGTGTTTTCCCATTTAATGGCAATGTAAAAAGCATGAGAATAAATCCATAATAGGGTGTGGCAGTAATATGGGATAGAAAGGAGATGCAATATTCATGAGGCAGGAGTAGAGGAATGCTGTTGGATCAGATGAGAATGGGAATGATGAAGTGAACACTCTGTCTACAGCTTGCTTAAAGATTGATCTGAAAAATAATTTTGAGATAGGTACATGCTGCATCTAATTTTTATTTGCTTTTTAGACCTCTGTAATTTTTATGATATAATTAAGTGGGTTGAGAAACTTCAGTCTGTAAAGCAGATACATCACCTGTAAGTTCTCAGAAAGTCTATACATCTACCACTATTCCTCAGTTACATGGGGAAGAGTTTAAGATTTATCACTGTGATGGTCTTAATTTAGGAGTATGAGGAGGGCATCTTTTGCCAAGGACCAGGATTCCAGCTGTTTTCAGGCTCTGGAATTCTGAGGCTCAGCAGGCCTGGGGATGCCCACCTGCAAAATTTCACCTGGCTTGGAGATGCTTACTCCTCTCTCAGAGCAAAAGCAGGAGAGGATGCTGATCTATGTATCTTGAGGCTAGGGGCACTTAATATAACTTGGAGAATGCCCACCCTTGAAATAGCTGTGCCAGCTCCTGCAATCAAGTGAATTTGTGACAGTCTTGCTTTCATGGGATAGAAATGAAATGGAATGTTTCAGTCCTCATAACCACAGGGAAGTGCCTGTAAATGTGAATGGTGGCTTGGCCCCCAAAAGACAAGTAAAAATCCAGTGTGGGTTGTTGTAATTCAGATGCCTAATTTCTGTGCTTAGTCAGAATTTTGGGGGCCTGACTCACAGTTTTAAGTGCTAGGGATTGCTATAGTGAGAATTACATATCAGCCTATAATTAGATGCATTTTTTAATTAAGGAAACTGCAACAGTGAAGGGAATAGGAGAAACAAAACCGATCTGGGCATTCCTTCATATTCATATAGGTCATATTATTGAACATTTTGTCTTGGCAGCCAGCAAGCATCTAGTACACAATCTCACTTGCTGAGCTGTATGGACAAATGCGGAACCTCTCCAGGTTTATGTGTGCCCAGCTGGATGAAGCAGTAAAAATGCATCATCCACAGTACAATGCAGCATATGAGATATTTATTCTTTCTATCCTTTTTAAGCCATTGCTTTAAAGTGTATCCAGAAGGGAATGGCAGAGCGTGCTGTTTGAGCTTTCTGATCCACAAATGGTAACAACAACAAAGAAGTTAACCTATCAAAAGAGAAATCATGCATTTTGATAGATCTGTTTAGACAACAGAACAAGTGGAAAACACTTATTTAGTGTAATTCAGTAAGTGCTAATGAGTCCAGATCTGAGAACATGTTTATTTTTGCCTTGGGTCTTTGATGCTTTCTCTCATTTTAAAAAACCACACAAACTGTTTTGTGCTTTACTTGTCTAACAGCCCATTGGTACTGAAAGTCTTGTACTGAGAGGATTGAGTTTGTTGTTTTTCCCCACCTAATCTGTGGGGAAATGTGGAGTTGGTTTTACAAATTTAGTACAAATTCTGTTTTCTCATCTGCTGCAGAACAGCAATTCTGCATCATGGAGAAAAGTGAAGTTCAGTCTGTGGGTGTGGAGGGAAATGGGATGCTGGGGTTCCAGTGGGATGTGGGCTCTCTTCTCTGGTGTAACCAGGAGAACATGTGCAGTGTGCTGTCACTTGAAATTAGGGGTCAACCTAGATGAGTATGAGCTTGCTCAGCACTTTAGAGCTTAATCAGTTTTTTCCCAAAGAACTTTTAGCTTAATCATTTGGTTTCAGGTGGTGTCTCATGTGGCTCTTCAGTCTATCTGGTGAGAATCTTACTCCTTTCCATTTAAGATCAATAACTTGTTTTGCCTTAGAGAAATTAAAAAGAAGCTCCAGAGTCCTGAGAAGTAAGTTGTTTCCACTCATGAATTGCCGCCAGTGTACAGGTATTTCTCAAAAACCTGAATAACTGCTAAGAACAGATTCCCTTTAAACAAGTTTAAGGAAGAAATAGCCAGGCATTGTCATTTCATCATCAGCTTTTTGGGTCTAAAGTGAATGGGCTGAATGTATTGCAGAGGAAGACCTCCCAAAACACACTGGACAAGTGATTGAGCACATAAACGTGATTTTAAAAGTATAAACCAACTTTCAGGTACTATTCCTGTCTTAAGATGCCTCGTTGCAGGACTAAGTAGGTTGAGTGATTCATTTAATGAATGTTTACTTTTATCCTCATATTGAGTAGATATCTTTGATAAATTTCTTGAAGGATATTTAGGATTTTTGCTTGCTCTTTTTAGCAGCAGCTTTTAAATGTTGATTCTGTAAAAGCCCATAACCCTTCAGAAAGTTAATTCACAGTGAAGAGCACTCTAGGTCCTCTGGGCTTATGCTTTCCCTGAGCAAGCTGATACACTTCCTCTGAAAAGAGGAGTGGGGAGGCACCCTTGGGATTTCTTCCCTCCTTTCCCTGGTCCTGCCCTTGCATCCCTCCCTGCCTGGAGGTGGTGGCTGTGCCTGCTGTCCCTTGGGAATTTACAGGTGACATCATAGTATGCCAGCTCCAGAATAACTTGTGCCCTGGTGTTTTGGAAAAGGATTGCCTTAATGCTTTGGATCATTTCCAGAACTACCTCAACTGTCACCAGCGACTCTTCCCACTTCAAAGAGTAATATGTTCTATAAATAGAGGTGCAAATTAGGTCTGGTTGTGTCCCAGATCCCTCAGTGTCTTTCGTCCCCAGTGACAGGACTGTGGAGTGAGAGGCAGCAGGTGCTGCCCCAGGGTCCAGCTTGGGCAGGGCAGGGGGCACAGCTCTGTCAGCATTTAGTCTTGTCCTGGTTGCTGGTCGCCCTCAGGAGCAGGGTGCCTTCCTTCTTATGTTCTTATTCTTACTTAAAAGCTGAATTTTCCCTTGGGAAGAGGGTCAGAACTCTCTTGTTGGCTGAAAGGAAAGGATTGCAGAATGGAGTGCTCCATAATGAAAGAAAATGCTCTTGGAGGGCAGGAGGGAAGGTGGTGTGATGGAGAAGCCTTAGGAGGCTGGAAGGGAGGTGGAAGATTATTGCTAGGGCTTGATACAATAGAGACAAGGAGTTTGTAGCAGCAAGGGCACTGAAGAAGAAGAAACATAAAAGCAGAGAATAAAATTAAGAAACATTTATGTGAAGCAGAATAGCCGAGAAAGACCATAGTTAGGAAATTTGAGAGCAAGTATGCGGCTAAATCAGAAAAGCAATCAATTAAGGGTACAATATTCAGTGAAGTGGACAACTTCAGGACTGCTCAGTTGATTAAGCAAGATAACTCAAGGAAGTAACAAGTAATTAAAAAATGTGAGATAAATTACAATTTCAGTGAAGAAGCACAAGTGTCGGATGGAAGCAGATCACTTGAGTAAATGGAGGGTCCAGTTTCAATGGCCAGAGATATAAGAGAGGCTATGAAACCATAATAGGAGAGGGCATCTTCATGCAACAAGATAGGAGGATCATTTTCCTCTAGAGATGACTGTTGAAGTGGTGAGATTTGGAAACGGAGTGATGAAATATGTGGAGTACAGCCCACTCACTGCAGCTATCTCTGGTACCTGTCCTACTTAAGAGCTGTGGTAGGAAAAATGTCCATATGGTTACCAAAAATACTGGAAAACAACGTTCGTTGCTCTGTTTTTTCATTCTGTGATTGCATTTTGCCAACTAGACAGTCCACAGACTTGACATCTAGTGAACTTTGTATTTGCTGAGAGTTAGATTGCCTTTTGGGGCAGCCACTCAGGCTGAGGGATGATGAATTACAGGAGGCAATTCTTTGACTTCACATATCTCAGACTGGGGCTAGTTATTATGGTTTTGGGGTGAGACTTTAAAACAGAGGCATGCTTTGTTCTGTCTGGATGCTATCCATAGGATTTCTCAAGAGATGACTTCTCATTGTATGTTCTAGTAGGATCATACACATTGTTGGCATTAAATGGATGCATACATAATGTGCATTTAAAAAGAACTCCAGGCTTCACTCTTCACTGTTCTGGGGATATTCAGCTACTTCAGAACTCCTTGGCCACATGCACTTGGCCAGTTTTGGTTCTGTTTGGTTTGGAAGACAGGTGTCTGCCAGGGAGGGCAGGAGCCTCTCTTGAAATGAAAAACACAAACCCCCCTCCCTTTGAATTATTATAATTTTGAAATCAAGGGGCTCTCAGGCAGAGATCTGGGGATAGGAATAACAGTTCTTTACTAGTGTGTATAACAGGGCACACAAACAACAATAACTACAGCATTAACAACAAAACAGAACCAGGGACCCCGTGGCAGCTTTCTTGGCTGAGATGGGAAGGGATGGAGGAGAGGCTTTGTTTCACAAACCCCTCGGGCAGCCAGTCCGGTGCTCCTGCAGGGCTCTGAGGAACACTCAGCTGGAACAGCAGGGATGAGCTGAGATCCTGGGCTGGTGGCTGAGGTGGATCAGCAGCTCCGCGGTGGTGCCTGGCACTGCAGGACAGGGGGTGCGGGGGCTCGCAGAAGAAGACGAAAAGAAGCAGAAGAAGAAGAAGAAAAGGAAGAAGCCACTCTGTCTCGGTCATGCTGAATTCCTTTCCTCAAGCAACAACAGCTCTGAGTGTGTGCCACTCTGAAGCCAAAGAACAGAGCCAGACAGCAGCTGCCCCTGCCCTCCCTTTTACCTGACCCCCCTCTCCCCTGGGCCCAGCCAAACCCTTTGTCTTCTCAAGCACCCTGTAAGTCCCAGCAGTCAGGTTTCCCCAAAACTAATGGGGAAAATTCTATAGGTGACAAGAAACCAAAGGAAGGACACCTAACCCCCAACAGGTTCCAAGCTTTGGAGCAGCTCTGGGAAGGTGAAGGATTTGTGGGGGCAGAAATGGAGCTTCTACACTTCTGGTTGTCAAATGGCAGCATCTTCTCCAGAGTGATCTTGCAGTGCGGGAGGCAGAGTGCAGAGCAGTGAAATTCTGGGTCTTGGGTGTTGGCTCTCTCTCTCTTCTGCAGCATTTCCATCATGCTTCTGCCCCAAATATGCCTACTTCCCAATGGTTGTAAGAATCCTGTGGGGATCTGCAGGAGATTTTTGAGAGGTGTGCAGCATAAATCAACTGATAACGGACTTTTATTGCATAAAAACAGAAAAATGTCTTTAGCAGTACTAATTACTACATTAGGTCCTTTCAGTTTACTTTTCTATCTCTGTTAAGGCCTGGCACCAAATGCTGCAGACAAAGTCATGCAATAAATGTAGTAGTACGATCTCCCAAATAAATCAATGTCTCAGGTTCTTTGCATTTTGAGACTTCCTTTAGCCTTCACTAACTTAGTTTAACACCTCATTCCAAATTACTGTTGTTACTTACAAAAACCTTTCATGTTCTTGGTGCTTACATAAACAATAAATTTCTTCTTAACCTTCATTATGCTTAATTAAGGAAGTGCAGGTGTTCTTGAAATAGCAAGTTCTTAAATATATTTGCCTTATTCCTAGATGGCTGCTTAATCACTTTAAAGAAATGTGTTTCCTCTGTGGCTTATACACCCTTTTTGTACTAATTTTCTTTTTTATCTGGTTGATTTTTAGATTATGACATTGTACCAAAAAACAAAATGTCACCATGGTGTTGAAAACTAAATAGCTCATCTTCAACCCTGTAGTAAACAGTTTAATTACTGTGAAAACTGAATTACTGCTCTCTAAAATTGTTCAGTTGTTGCTTCTGAACTGGTCCTTTTTTTCCCCTAAATAATCCAGTGTTTAAGTTTCTTAAAATGAGTAGCACAGACCAACTGGCCGTGATTCAGTAGAGTTCTGTAACTTGTCATGCATTCTTGAGCTGAAAGGTGAATTTTCAAGATCAATTTGAGACCTAAAAAGATGGCAGTTGGATTGCCTGGTTGGTGGGTGCTCTCAAATCCACTATATCAGTCCTGGGAGCTGAGGCTAGGTCAAAGAAAAAAGTATGTTAACTTTTGAGTAGTACATACCCTGTAGGTATGAACCTACATGTACTCATAGTACCTACATGTACTTGCGCTTGTGTAGGTGGGAGTCTTCTCATGCAGGTCAAGAGAATTTATTTTCCTGATAGGGCACATTTTTCATTTTTACTCAGTAGTAGGAAGGAAAATCACAGATTCACCTAAAGGATTATGAACTACTTCCAGTCCAAACTGATAAGTTCAAGATCAAACAATAAATTAGAGAACCAACCAACCCACCCTCCCTCTCATCAGTCACTGGTTTTATTGATTATATATCCCTAATCAGGGCTTTCTTGTTAGTGAATAGTAGACCCAGCTGTAAGCTGACCCATCAGTACCTGTACCAGAAATTATCCCTGACACACTCCAGAAATCTCCCAGGTTGCTTGCATCACTCTGTGCTGCCCTTCCTATGGATGTCAGGGAGATACAAGTGGACCCAGCACTTGTGATCCAGGGATTTCCCTGAGTCTTTTAAAGGAGGTCTCTGTCCTAGAACTATACCTAATTCTTCAGGAATTGAGGGTGAGGATTCCTGGATGAAAGTAAACTCAGGTTGGATACACTAGCCTGAGAGACTTCATGGCTGTGAGTTTTATGTCTTGTTTGAAAGAGCTGGCTTATAAATTCCTCCCTCAGATCTTTTCAGAACCTAGCTCAAGTATTTTTAATATTTAGATTTCTTTGAATTATGGGTAGTCTGTGAAAACTGGAGCATGGCAGCTAATAAACTTAGGAATTCAACAGTACTTCAACCCAAAATAGTTTCCTGTGATATTATGTATATCAAACTCTTCAGGCTTGGCTTTTATTTAGAATTTCATAATGTTGCAGTATATATAACTCTTTCAGGCATTTCAAGGTGGCATGTTTTGCTTTGTTGTAGTATGCTAGGCAGCTCCCTAAACAGCAACAGGTCTCCTTGTCTACTACTTTTACTCTAATGGATCCTGTAACTGGGTTCTCTCAGAATGAAGAAGTCTATAAAGGATGGGAAGCTCAGTCAGAAAGAGGAGGGAAAAGTAAAACTCATCATTTCCTGTGGCTTTTCTGCAGCACTTGGAAGCCCAGAGTTTCCCAGACCCACTCACTCATGCCTGTGCAGGGGAGATGTGATTGTATAGCTGGGGGCAGGTCTGACAGATGGCAGAGGCAGAAGTGGATGGAAGAGAAAACATTTTGGTGAGATGGGTAGGAGTCATAGCATGTAGTAATCTCTGTGGTTTGTGTTTGACAGGCTTTTAGGAATTCTAATCTCACATGGAGTGTTAGCTTGTTAAAGGCCACCACATTGGGCAGAGGGGGAAGTTGGATAAATTACATTTTCTGCCAGGACTTCAGGCCTATAAGAGCTTAGTACATAAATCACGTTTATCTCCTAGAAAGCTGTTTTTTAATTGCTCTGGATAATGGGGTTTGTGCATTCCTGATTTATACTCAGCAGCACAGAGCACAGCAAACTGCTTAGATTAGGATAGACTCAGACATTTCCTATCTTGTGTTCGCCTCTCTTTCACTGCCAGCTCCCTGTTTTCTGCTTCTGCTTCTTCCGTGTCTGCACAGGAAACCTCCCCACCCCAGAACCACTAAACATTGTGGTGTGTTGTGAAACTCCCTGTTCGTAGTGAGTGCTGCCAAATATCATTTGATAAATGATAATGGCAAAACAGTATGCAGTGGGTTGAAAATTGTAAATATATGATGGCCTTGATGACTGAAGCTGTTTGGATTATGTAATATATAATGTAAAATATATAAGGACTGTTTCAGAGCCCTGACAAGCTGTAGTGGTGCCTGTGAACTTCTGGGAGCTTTAGAAGTGTGAGTTTTGGAAACTCTTCTTTCAGTTCCACGTGAATATTTGTGATGAAAGCCAGGTTTATGTTCCTTGATTACAGTGGAAAATTTTTTCTTGTGGGTTGGGGGAAGTTCTGTCAGCTCTTTTTAGAGTCTGGAATACCTGAGATGATAAACCTCCTCATGTCCTTTGGAAGCAGCTGTTCTAATAGAAATGCGGATTACATGTTTAGGTGAAACAAGGAGTGTTTAGATCCCCACTGATTAAGTCTGACCCAGGAAATTCCCGGTGTTTTATACATCCTGGAATCCAAGTGGATGTTTGTGGTGAGCAGTGAATTGGTGCTGTGACTGTCCAGAGGGACTTGGCTCGGGTTAGGTTGCCAGTGAAGGAGTGGAGTGACTCAGAAATAAGATGATGTGGGACAAAACTCAGAAATTATCTCCTGGACTATTCCCCACCTCCTCTTAGAGACTCAGACTGAAAGAACCTGAAGTTTCTTTGCCACAGTGAGCATTGGACAGGAGGTTTGAGAATGTTTTAAGTAATCACAAGAGGCATTTTACAGAGAGGTGTTAGCAAGTTGGCAGCACTGTTGAGACCAAATGGCAATAGATTACTTCTGCGTCAGCATTTTGTCCTTTTTAATGTGGAGCTAGCAGGAGTAAGGCAGTATTACTTTATTTATTATTCATAATTTATTATTAATCTCAGTATCTTGTTACTGAGATACGTTCAGAAAAAAAAAAAAAATCACTTTCCTGAGTGCAAAATGGAGCTTTGACTATCTCAAATCAATTAAAACAACACACAGCTGTCACTCAGCCACTGGGAGTGGAAGTAGGAGAGTAGCAAAAAGACATCCTGTGATCCAGCATTTGCTTCTGCTTTTGTTTCATCGTAACAGTCTTTCATGATCACCAAAACACTTGATTTTTGGGTTTCACTGGGCCTATAGGAGAGAAAGATGTGAAGAGAGACAGGGTATATGGCCTCTTCTTCTCGGAACAGTTGTCTGGAGATGATTTGTGAAAGCATCTCAGCTGATCTTCCCTGTAAGAACAGACCCATTTCAACCCAGAGCTGGTGAGATCTTATTTCAGTAAGTCTGTAAAGAGGCAAAAAAATTAAACTATGATGGAGTTCAATATGAGTGCAAGATGACTACCATTTAACCTTTTTCTGTGGCTTCACTAAAAGAGACTTGAAAAGTCTTGGGAGTTTCTAATAAAAAGAGGTTCCAATTTGGATAGGTCTTTATTTTAATCTACTTAGTGCCTTTAGTAAAGTGTTTGCATCACTAAAACTGATTTTATAGCACTTAGCACTCGGGCAAGATTTGAAACACATTAGCAAAATTTCAAAAATTAAGCTTTTAACTGCAGAGGAATTGCAAGTTCAAGGTGTGTTTCAGATAAATGGTTCTTTTAATCTGTGATAATTTTACTGTTCTTGTTTATCTGTTAGAAGCCATCTGAAGGACCACTGAATTCAGTTCAATTCAGAAGTATCTCTGGATCCTCAGCCAACTGATGGTCAGCTGTTTACAGAAGTGATGGTGGTTGCAGCAACTAGGGCTGTAAGTGAAGTCCAGTGTCAGTGCTTGGTGATGCATTAAATCCTGGCTTTCATCCAAAATCACACTATTACAGCTTAACTAGTGTATAATTCTGGGTGTACAGAAGCAACAAAGAGCACACTGTTTTGTCAGTGTCCATTTCAAGGAAGCTAAAGCAAGGCACTTTTTGGCATTTATGGATTATTTTCCCCTTTTCAGTTAGTAAGAAATGTGATATAACTGGAATCTCAAATCATCATCTGTCATGGTTGGACCTCTTCTCTGGTTTGGCTGGGTTGGCTGTGGCAGAACAAACTGGGACAAGTACAATGGAATGCCCAAAGATAGATTTTAATGTTCACAGAGACGACATGGTCTGAGGGGCTGCATCCAAAGGACCCGGTGGTGTGGGTAACCTCACAATGTAAAGGGGTATCTGAGGGCAAAGGTCCAATTGCAAACATGGACCAGGGATATGACCTATTATGGAATGACTCCATTAGCATCCCCCAGCACCCTGCCTCCCAAGGCCTCAGGTTTATTTTCTCTCTGTTAGGAACCAGGTCCAAGATTTTGTCTATGCCAGCTAATTTGGTTCCCACACCTGCCTCAGTCTTTGAATTGAAAGACCTTCAGTAAAGATTTCTGAAAAACCATTAACAGACAACTTAAAAAACAAGGTAGCAACATAAACATAACAACTACAAAAATCAGTAAACCTGTCTTGACTAAAGATAAAGTCCAACTGGATAAGTTCCATTTTTCTCAGTAGTCCATTGAACCACTCACTGTCATCTATTTGCAATTTCTTGACTCCTTCCCTGAGAATTTGGATACTTTTGTGTATGGACTCACTTTGATCTGAAAGATTTATGCAGCATATGCCTCTGAAATCCTTGCAACCATGTCCTTGGGCTAATAGCAGGACGTCTGTTGCAGCTCCTTTTTGCAGGGTGGCATGCTTGATGCTATCAACATTTGTCAATAGCTCAGTCAGTTCCCAGGACACAGCATTGGTTTGCCTACTCAGCCAACACCCTAGATTGCCCAACATTTTTAAAGATTTTTCTGCAGCAACCCTAGGCGCCAATATTGAGGCTCCTATTCTCTGTCCTTTGCTCCAAAAGTTAAACTCATCTTTGCAATCAGATTTGAATTGATGGACAAATCTCTTATGCCTAATTTTTTTTGTCATGAATTATGGCAATCCCAGATGCTAGCACAGTAAGTCTCCCCAAGCTACATGGGCCACCCTTGAATGGGTGATGGTATGCCAGGCCATGCTCTGTCCCTGCAAATAAGAAATGTCCCAGATGGTAACCGTAACAGGGAATCACTGGATTGGGATGGGTACAGCAAGCAGGGATCCTTCAGGAGTCATGTCTGGTGGAATAACCAGTGGATAGGACTTAAAAATTAATAATACTTAGAGAACTAAGAAACTGGTGGTATTAATCAGCAACAGATAGGAGGTAACAATATCCACAAGCTTCAAGGTGTCTTTTCAGCAGGTTCTTCACAGGGTTTCTCCGTTGAGCTTCTTGGTGTTTCTGTAGAGGTGACACAAACTTGTAAACTTAAAAGCTGTTATCTAACTGCACAAACACTTTCTCTGCTAAACCAAATCAGTATCTCTGTGTTTGCTTTCTCTTCAGGACTTTTTCATGTTTCAGTGAAGTTGCCTTGAGCTCTACTCTGCACGTTTAATAGGTTTCTTGTTAGTGTTGTTTCAATATCTTTCTAAGCTTTTAGAGCATTATTTGTACCCTTGACTGGTTTGCCTAGATTTGTTATTTTGCCAGATAAACAGGAAATAGCCAACAACTCCCATCCTTGAATAATATGTTCACACAATTTTTAAATGACTGAGAACAAACCTTAATTTTAGATGTGGAAATCCCATAAATAAAATGATGAAATTTGTGGAAGAAGAAAATAAGACCTTAGTATTTCTTTTTCTTTTGAGGGTAAAAGCAACCCGGAAAGTTGCTGTGAATTTTATACAGGAAAAATTATTAAGTTAAATCAAGATCCTTAAATATTACACAGTATTACACATTCAAGGCACATTTGAAAGGACAATGTTTTAGCACTGCTAATTACAACAGACACCAATGCCAGAACCTTTTGTCGTGACCGAGGTTTGAAAGGTGTACCAAAGGGTTTTTTTAAAATGTTTTTCAACTCCGCGGCAGTCACCCTGGGCTCCCGCAGTGCTGGCAAGCGAGTGGCCACGGTGGGCTGGGGCAGCTGGAGCCTCCCTTCCCACCGCGCCCTGGCCCGCCCCAGACCTTCCCCGCCGACCCACAGCTGCCCGTAGCGCAGGGCCGGCTGTCGGCCGGGCGGTGACCCCCGCGCCGGCCTGCCCCCCACCCCAGCTCACAGAAACAGTGCCCTTGTTTCTGGATGCGTAGTGACAGCGTTCGGTATCCGACCCCGGCATCGGCCGTGCGGGCGCGGGCCTGGCCGGGGCCATGTTGGAGAGCGGGGCTGCTGGGATGGGGGTGGGCGTTGATCCGCTCCCTCCAGGCGGGCGCAGCTCGGGGCTGAAGGGGCGGCCGGGAGCGGAGCGGGCCCTGCGCAGCCTCCTCTGAGGGGGACAAGCAGGGCCGGCGGGAGAAGAGCGGGGACAGAACTCGGGGAGGGAAGAGGGGAGCCTGAGGTGCGGCTGGCTGAGGAAATCTGAGATATTGTAATTGGGGTGCCCTGCAGAGCAGGATCAGCAGCGTCGTTAGCCGGCTTTGTTTCAAGTGAATTGGAGGGCAGTAGGTTATCAGGGGTGCTGGGGGAGAGAAGGGGGACGGGAGCCGAGAGTCCCAGATAGCGTGGCCAGAGCCATCTTGAGCTTTCGGTGTAGAAGGCAGAAGGGAATACGAAGTAGCGGGGTAACAGGGCGAACCGGTGTTTCCTCCGAGCTAATGGCCCTTTCGGCCCCGTGTTCCACTCCAGGGCAGTCTGAGGGGTTTAGAAGGAGGGGAGCACAGAATGGCAGGAGTTGGGATTTGCATGGGCTCCTGCGTTTTTAACGAGCTCCGATCTCGTGTCCCGTTCCCAGGGTTGGAGGGGTAAGAAGCAGAGCGGGCTTGGGAGGTGGAGTTGGAATTTCACCGCTTTATCTCCTTGGCTTCAAAGGTTTCGAGAATCGCACGGAAGACAGGCAACAAGCGAGGGGCTTGGAGGTTCCTCCTCGTTGTTAAGTCACACAGCCTGTTTCCCAGTGCGTCCCAAAAGCCTGCAGGAAAGATGCCACAGTCTGAGAGGTCTCCCGCAGCACCATGCGGAGCGGAGCCGGCCGGGGCTGTGGTGGGGAGCCGGCAGCACCGGCGTGGTCGGTGCGGCCCAGCGGCAGCCGGGAAGTTTCGCAAGACCCAATTTTAGCAGGGTTTTGGGCTTACGTTTTCCAACCTCCTTCCCATGGTTTGGTAAAAGTTCTCTAAATCGTCCATATACTTCCCGTTCTAAATTGCACAGCCTTAGTCCCATCCTGCTAAACTGGGCTCGGGGGGGATGTGCCCTCCTGGTTGGGGTAGGTGCGATGGGAAAGTGTCCCCTTCCTCTGCTCACCTGCGTTCCTTGCAGGGGTCCTCTGAGAAGGCTGGTCGTGCTCCGATGGCTGCTCGATTCCATCGAGGCTGGTCAAGCCTGAGGGTTTATTCCAGAGCAGAATACTATTGGTTTGCCAAAACCAAGTCTCCTAGAGTTCTTCTCAATATGAGAATGTCCCTGTTTGGGCAGCACATGTTGTGGTAGGGTTGTGGGACCTCTTTCCCGGTTCAGCCGGGTTGAACGTAGCGGAATAAATCAGGGTGGGTACGATGGAGTGCCCAAAGACAGATTTTAATGTTCACAGAGACCACATGGTCTGAGGGGCTGCATCCAAAGACCTGGGGACATGGGTAACCTCACAATGTAAAGGGATATCTGAGGGCAAAGGTCCAATTGTAAACATGGACCAGGGACATGACCTATTATGGAATTACTCCATTAGCATCCCCCAGCACCCTGCCTCCCAAGGCCTCAGGTTTATTCTCTCCATGTTAGGAACCAGGTCCAAGATTTTATCTATGCCAGCTAATGTGGTTCCCACAATAATCCACCCACTTCAAGAAATTTCTCTCATTGGTAGATTTCATCCAAATTAAACAGAATAATAGAAGTCTTAAGGGTAGTGAGTTCCTACCAGTTTAATGAAAAAGTGGATAAAAGAAAGAGGTCAAGCCCAAGATTCCCTATTTTGTTTGGCCTCCTATTTGGCCAATTAGCTCATCCTGCTGGCTGGTTGGCATCAGATGGATGCTTCCCAACCAGGCAAAACTCATTCCACCTCCTAAACAATTGATAGTTATGAGGTGTAGGAAGCAGTTTCTGAGAAACAGAAACAATTTTATCTTCAAAACTGGGCTTCCTTCAGTCTATTCCTTCAGATCTATTCATAGATCTTTGATGGGTTAAAACTTTACTCCAGATGTGCAGCTTCATATGCCTTTGAAAATATATTGGCTTTTCATGCCTTTTCCTGTGATACTTTTACATATTCTTGTCTCTGTCACATGTATAGGCAATGTCTGCTGGGTCATCTATTTTTTTTTGCATCAAAAACCGCTTGGAGTGACAAGTGCAAGAGAATTCCTTTCCTCTTCATTTCTATTGTCTCAGCTTTTAGGAAATCTGTGTAATGAAGGAATTTTTTTCTTTCTGTCTAGTTCACCTTCTATCAAGGGGCATGACTGAATTGATGAAATTCAGTGAAATTATGTGAAAAGCACTCTATGGACTTTCTTGGATTGGAGCATAGGGGCCCTTTTGCAAGGAGCTTTACTTACAGGGCTTTTCTGTGGGTTACAGAAGCAGGTGGAAAAGTCACTGTGGTGTGATAATTGGCTACTTAGATCCAGGCGGGACCTATCAACACTTTAGATAGTGCAAGCTCAAATATAAGATTAGAGCTACTCAATTAATTTTTAGTGAATCTCCTTCTCCTGAAACAGAACAGCCACCCTGTGCCCTTGTTTAGGCCAAATATTTCCCTGTGCTTGTGGTGGGACAAAGCAAGCAGCAATTTCTTCGGAAGGAAGGAGGAAAGTGGTGAGAACAACTAATTTTTCCCTCCTGCAGCAGCACCTCATGTAGTGTAACTGTGTCTCAGTTGATGGTTCTGCTGTTTTGTAAGACAGCATTCATTAATTTCACCTCATATCTGTAAAAACTGCTCTCCTCCTGCCAGTTTCATAAGATTGAAAAAAAAAGGATAGCACATGTAGCAATTAATCTTCTCTCCTGCCCCATTCCCCTTTGCCTCTGAATTCTCTGTAACAAAATCACCCGTCAGTACAGCTGTTCCAGTTCATCTTTCTGACACTGTGAGGGATATGTAAGCAGAGATGAAAAATCATCAGATAGGGCTGCTGGCAAACGGGATCCTTCCATGGGATGTTGTAGACAAGCAGAAGAGTTACTGTCCCTTTCTCATAGCTCACCTTTGCTGCAGAAGCCTCCACTGACTTCCCAGGATCTGGAGCAGCAGACCTGGTTTCATGGGTTGGAATAAAGCTATGAAATGTAGACGTGTTTATCTAAGGCAGTCGTTCTTTCATGGTCGTTACAGAGGAGATAGGGTTTTAGTCAGAGATGAAGCCCACCCTAAAAGGTGCAGTCTCTATGAGGAAGGCTTGGAGTGACCTCAGTTTGTATATCAGATACTGTAAATGAGATGAATCCTGTGTCTTCTCTGACAGTTGTATTTAGGGACTGGTGGTTACCAGAGCAAAGGCACAGTGCCACTGGATTTCAGCATTGTGTGAGATTTCTGCCTGCCACCCAGAGACCATCATTGGATCTCATGCTTGAGGTCCTCACTTCTCCAGGGAATGTGGCTGTGCATTGCAGTTCCCAGGTGAGATGTCAAGTCATTGCTGCTGTCTCTCCTGGATGTGGTTGTGAATGTGGTTAGGAACAATACAGACAGCTCAGAGACATCCTGCATTCCAGTAGATTTTACTGCATGAGTAATTTGGATATCTTTGCTATTGGCTAGCCACAATTTGTGATGGTTTCCTTTTAATACAACTCTTTTATACATCTGATATGAGAGCCTTAGAAAAACTTCATCTGACCAAGCCCTAGAATTCATACTCTATAATTCATACCTTGTAATTTGTATTTCAAAGCTTGCAATCAGGCTTTGTACATAGGAATTTGAGACAAGTTTGCATGAATCAAAATGTGTTTCTCTGAAAGGAAGTGAACAATTCTGTGTTGCAGTAGCTTTTCAGATCAAAGCTGCTCCATATTTAAGTAAAAGAATTGGCAGGAGGAAAGGTAAGCTAAAAGTTTGTCAGGTGATCTGGTAGACTTTTATTCACTCAGTTACATAATCACAGAATGGCCTGGGTTGGAACAAACCTCAAAGATCATCTCTTTCTACTCTCCTGCCATGAGCAGGAACACTTTCCTGTAGACCAGGTTGCTCAGAGCTCCATCCAGCTTGGGTTTGAACACTTCCAGGGGTGGTGCAGCCACAGCTTTTCTGGGTAACCTGGGCCAGGACCTCATGCCCCTCACAGGGAAGAATTCCTTCCTAATATCTAATCTAAACCTGTCAGTTTGAAACCGTTCCCCCTTGTCTTGTCACTCCAGGCCCTTGGTAATAGTTTTTCTTCATCTTTCCTGTAGTCTCTCTTCAGGCACCAGAAGGCCGTGATTAGGTCACATCAAAACCTTCTCTTCATGCTGAAAAATTACAATTCTCTCCATTTTATATCCTGGTTACTTCTAGTTCACAAACATTGTTCAACAAAAAGGTAGCCCCTGGCAAATTTTTGGCCTCATCTGTATTTCTCCAATCTAAATGTGCCTAAATGTACAATCAAAATCAAATCCCCCATTTTCTATGACACTTTGAATGTGTCTGGAAGAAAAATGTATCACTTGTATATTAAAAAAAATGAGTTAAAGAAAAGCAGTCAGAGATTAGGATGAGGTGCTGCAATGACTGACAGCTCAGATTTTACCTTCTAGAAGGCAGCAGGGTTTGTTCGTTCAAGGCCAAGGCAACCAGAATAACCATATCATCCCACAGGATGAAAAAACAGCCTGTTTCTTTTCATTTTGCAGTCTGGGAAACAGAACTGTGAACTCTACTGCGTGGGTGGCACCAGATTGGTGATTTTAAAGTAGGTAATGAAAACCCAAATATTCTCTGGATAAATCAAAGTAGGTAGTGAAAATTATATTCTCCTGTTAAATAAAATACTTTGTTTCCCTTTTGGGCGCCTCAAAAAGCCTGGAAAAAAATTTTAAAGAGGTACAGATAATGCAGAAAAGGCACAAGTTCTTGATTTCATAGTTTCCTCCCCAACTATTAATTTAGCAATTTGTAACAAATTATCATTAATTTATAGTTTAATTTCTTGCTTTAAAAAGTCACAGCATCTCTGCTGCTAAGCTAATGAAGATGCTTTTCCTGAATTGTCCTTATTCTGTAGTCTCTGCAATGCAACATCTTTCCTGTCATGCAGGTTGCAGTGCCAGGCATGATTTACTGTCTGCAACCTTTTTATTGTCCTGATAACTTTCCTCTCTTGAGGAAGTTGGAGAAAAATTACATGATCTCCTTATAAAAAAAGAGATTTTTTTTATTTATGCAACAGAAATTGCTGCAGGTGGCATTGAAATAGGCTGAAAGTTTCACATCAAGAAACAATATAATAATAAAAAATGTGAGGAGGAAAATGGTCATGACTTTAGTCTTTCTAAAATCTCACCATATTGCAGAGTCCTTGACTGGAGAGTAAATCAGATTCTCTTTGTTCTGTTGTATGGTATCCACTCTTTTCATATTTATGTTTCATTGTATTTAGACCTATTCTTCAAGCTTTGCTAACTGGGTATTTTCAGAAGTGAACCTATGCATAGCAATGTATTCTTGACTTAGATGTTGTATTTGGCAAAGGTCTTAATTAGCTAGAAAATAGCTAGAGACAATAAAAAAGACAATGGCTAGAGCTTCAACTATGACTATTGTCCCGAAAACCCAATCTGGTATGCCTTTGTGGGTATCAAGAGCATTTGCACTGTCCATTCTCTTTCTTATTTGTTACTTGTCCAAGTGATCTTTCTTAGGAGGGAGGTTTTAAGATAATATTCCTGAACAGTTTTACTGAGGATAATTTTCAATTTAATCTTGAGTGGAGTGGTATACCTGGAGTAGCAAGGTGCTTTAAACACCATGAAAATCTCAAAGTCTCAGTGAATTCTTCAAGCTAATTCCCAGTTACAAGTATTAGATTGAGCTTTTTAGGAAAAGAGAATTTTAGGAAAGAGAAATTCAATGTGTGTGACCAAACCCAAAAATGTTTTCACAGAATATTCAGAAGCCAAATGCCAGCTGCAGGTGCAAGCTCACAGATTGTAGTAGAACCAGTGATACAGTGGATTTGTAGAATTCTGTAGGGCCATAAAATTCCCAGATTGACAGCTTGGATCCAAAAGTGGCCACAAGTAGAGCCATTATGTGGTGTTTGAGAGGGCTCCCTTAACAGCTGCAGGGACTGGCTGTTGCCTACTGGGAGATGTGATATATGAGCCTAGATTTTTTTGTCTGTTCTTGGATGGCATGGGATGCATGAGTAATGAGAGGTCAGTTGGCAGGGGGGTAGCTACCCTAGAATAATATTTCCAGGTTTTATTTAGAATTAAATACTTACGGGTGGATCTTGAAAAAGAGAAAATAGCCACAGGAATTATGGAAAGAGTAAAAAGCTTAGTTCATAGCAAGAAATTCCAACCTTTTTGCTCATCAGAGGGGAGGCTGAAATTTCAGCAGCCTTCTTTAAGGATCTCTTAAACGAGGGAAGAAAAATAATTGAAAAATCAGCCAAAACCTGAAGTGCCAAAAAATCAGACTCTGAACAGGGTTACTAAAGACAATATATTATTAAGCAGTGATCTTGGTTTATCTCCTGCCACCAAAACTTCTTGCAAAAACATGGGGAATTTGTTATTTATGGAAATGTTACATGAAAGACATAATGAGGAGAATTTCAGGATTAGATTTTGAGACTGTTAGAGGTGGTCAAGCCAGATGTGTTTCAGAGCCAGTATTGATATTAATCCCTCAAGTATTTCCAGTAGGGGATGCACATGCTGGGAAATGGTGTTGATTCAGTTGACGACTCCACGAGGCTCTTACTAGATCTTCCTGCCTCTGCTGGGAGGTATGTAGATGGAACCAGTTAATAAATTGCAGGGAGATGGATCTGTTCAGGTCTTCCCTAGTGAACCCAAGCAAACACCTGTGCTCTGGATTCTAGCAGCTCCACAAAACCCTGTTTGTGAGTGAAGTCCTGATGGTTTTGTCTTGACACCAACCAAAACTCCAAAGCTGATGCTTTTTTTTTTTTTCTGGGCCTCAGATTCATTTGGTCCCAAAGCAAAACAAGAGAAGTTGAGGCAAATAGGAACTGCCATGTAAAGGGAAGGTTTATATCAGGCTGTGCTGTCAGATCCTGGCTCCTTTTTGCAGCCACCAGATCAAGGTTAGCATGATGCCACCTAAATCCAGGCAGCTGACCAGAGTCTGACTAAAGCAATTCATTTCATGAATTATTTTTATCTCAAACTTGGATGTGAGCCTCAGTTATTATTTTAATGCTCCATTAAAGCCGTACTGTAGTGAAATAATAAGTCTCACGTTAACATTTTTGTGCAATGATTGAATCAATGCCCTTGTTCCGTGAGGGGACTGCTGGCATTTGCTGGGACCTGCAGAAGCAGCATCAAGCTGTAGTCTCTTCTGTCCTTTCCCCATCCATGTGCTCTGGATCATCCTTGTTTTTTGAACACTTCCCTGTAGAACCTTTGTGAAGGTGCCTTCCTCTTGCTGCTGCTGCCCAACAAGCGGCTCCCCATCAATGTGATCTTTTTCACATAAATGCAGTACATCTCACTTAGATGGATTTAAAAGGAAAAAGCTGAGAGAAATAATTTTGCTCCCTCTGCCTCGCACAGTGCTGGTGGTGCTTACATGCTCCCTGTAGGAAAGCATCCCAAGGCAGCTGGAAAAATGGTGCTGTGCTGGGGAGGCAGCACCCCCTCCCCCCTTCCCCCCAAACCTGCAGAGATGAGACAGCTGAAGAGCTGTGACCCCTTGGCTGACAACCCATGCCATGGAATTGTTCATTTTTTCTTTTAGATACTATGTTTGCAGCATTTGGGATGTTCAGAATAGCTTCTGTGTCATTACTGACTGGGACTTGAGTCAAGCCAGTCAAAATGATTAAGCATTAACTGTCTGCAAACTGAAGTCAGACTGCAAAGTTTGTTAACTTAAGGTGAAGAATAAGTGGTTTGGGAGTTTTATTAAAGTTTGTGGGTGAATTCAGGTTAAGACCTCAGTGCTGAGGCTGCCTTCTGCTTAATGACCTGCCTGGTGTCCAATTACAGCTGAAATCTGAGGGGCTTGAAGTGAGATTCTCCTGCTTCTTTCACAAGAAGGGATTTTTCCCCTAAGTACTACTGGATATGAGGGCCTCCAGTGCCTTTTCAATCCCACTATTAAGTCCTTTCACATACATGTCTTCTCTGAATTGGAGAGAACTTTGAATCAAAAGCAAATTTTTTAGGTTGTTTGAGTGAAGGGATGCTTGCAGTGAACTGAGATTCCTGGCTAAAAGCTGCTGCAGTTCTGCAAATTCTATCATAACATTTATGCTGTACATTTTAATCAAACTCAGCAAACAGTTCAGTCTCCCTGATCCTGCAAAGTATCCTGCTATAGGTTTGTATTTGAATCCAGTCTGCTTTTAAATGGTTTTCCTATTAAGCTTTTCTTGCTTTGTAACTTTGGGATTTGGATGAGAAAGGCTTTTAATAATTATTCTTTTCTGACAGAGAACACACATGAGTGCACAAGATTTTTGTGTTCATACACACAGCTTCATTCTTGAATGAATGGCCTTGCCTATTTGTGG